AGGAACGCATGACTGTACTTTCCTGTGCTTACTTTTTGTGATATATGTATATATTTCATTCTCTTACTCTCTGCCTATTTGTGTAGGTAGATACATATAGATATTATCTAGATAGCATATAGTTGGATCTTGCCTTTTTTCCAGTCTGACAACTATAGCTTTTAAGTGAAATGCTTCGTGCATTTATATTTAATGTAATTATTGGTATGGTTGAGTTTAAATCTACCATTTGCTATTTGTTTTCTATTTATCTCTTCTATTTTTTATTCCTTTGTTCCTTTCCCACTTTCTTTTGGTTTAATTGAATTTTGTTTTAAGAATACCATTTTAGGGGCTGGCCCTGTGGCATAGTGGTTAAGTTCAATGCACTCCACTTTGGCAGCCCAGGTTCACAGGTTCAGATCCCAGGCACAGACCTACACCACTCCTCGGCCATGCTGTGGTGGCGACCCACATATAAAGTAGAGGAAGACTGGCACAGGTGTTAGCTCAGGACTATTCTTCCTCAAGCAAAACAAAAAATAGAGAGAGAGATTGGCAACAGATGTTAGCTCAGGATGAATCTTCCTCGGCAAAAAAAATGGGGCTGGCCCGGTGGTGCAGCAGGTAAGTTCACACGTTCTGCTTCTCGGCAGCCGGGGGTTCTCTGGTTCAGATCCCTGGTGGGGACATGGCACCGCTTGGCAAAAGCCATGCTGTGGTAGGCGTCCCACGTATAAAGTAGAGGAAGATGGGCACGGATGTTAGCTCAGGGCCAATCTTCCTCGGCAAAAAGAGGGGGATTGGCAGTACTTACCTCAGGGCTAATCTTCCTCAAAGAAAAAAAAAGAATACCATCTTATTTCCTCTGTTGACATGTTATTTCTCTTACTGATTGAAATAGGGCTAACAATATGCATCTTTAACTTATAAAATCTCTTTAGAGTCAATTTTGTAGCACTTCATACTTCACAACTACGCTTAACACTTCTCATTTCTCACTTATATCTGACACTTCACAAGTGCAGTAACTTTACAATGGTATAATTTCATTTATCTGCCCTCCTTTCCTTTGTGCTATATTGTCATATTTTTTATTTCTAGTACATTATAAACTCCACTTTACAGCCATTATTTATAATTTTACAGTCAGCTGTTTTATAAGGAAATTACAAGAAGAAAAATAGTAGTATTTTATATATACCTACTTATTTACAATTTCTGGTGGATCTCATTCCTTTTATAGATCTGAGTTTCCACTTAATATCATTACCCTTCAGCCTAGAGAATATCTTTTAGTATTTCCTGTTGTGCAGGTCTCCCAGGGAGATTCTCTCCATTTTCATTTATCTGAAAATATCTTTATTTCACTCTCTCTCTCTCTTTTTTATTTGCTGAGGAAGATTTGCCCTGAGCTAACATCCATTGCCAATCTTCGTCTTTTTTTCTTTTTTATGTGAGCTGCTGCCACAGCATGGTCGCTAATAAGTGGTGTAGGTCTGCCCCTGGGAGCCGATCCCAGGCCACCGAATCGGAGTGCGCAAAACTTAACCGTTAAGCCATGGGGGCTGGCCCTTCACCCTCATTTTTGAGAGATATTTTTTCCTGGATATAGACTTTGGTCTTGAAAGTTTTTCTTTCAGTACTTTTTTTTTCTTTTTATTACTTTTCAGCATTGTCTTCTGGCATCCATTATTTCTGATGAGAAATCACTTGTCATTTTTAATGTTCCCCTGTATATAATATCTTTTTTTTCCCTCTGCTTTAAAAATTTTCTCTTTTACTTTTGGTTTTCATCAGTTTGGTTATAGTCTGCTGTGATATATTTTGTGTTTCTTCTGCTTGGGGTTTGCTGAGCTCTTTGGATCATTAAGTCAATGTTTTCATCAAATTTGGAATTTTTGGTCTTTACTTCGGCCACATTCTCACTATCTTCCCCTCTGGGCCTGCAGTTATGTGAATATAGATTGTTTGATGTTGTCCCGCAGATCCTGTGGCTCTGTTCATTTTTCTTCAATCGTTTTTTCTCTTTGTTCTTCAGACTGAATAATTTCTATTGATTTTTCTTCAAGTTCACTGATTCTTTTTTTTCCCTCATCTCCATTCTGCTGTCAAGTTCATTGAATGAATTTCCCACTTCATTCATTGTACCTCTGTCTCTGGTCTGTTCTCAGCCCCGTAGGAGCCACTCTCTGTAAGGTTCTGGCTGTCTCCCCTGCTGTGCATGGATCCTCAGGAAAGAACTCACAGGACGCCCCACATAGACTCGGGGCTCTCACACCGCCTGCACTGCTTCTCATCCCAGTCGTATCAGCTGCTCCAGACTCTGATCTTTGCCTCCTCAGCTCAGTGGGACCACCGTGCTCTGCTTAGATTCTAGCCCACTGTCCTGTGGTCAGGAAACCATCCCCAGGTAGAGAGTCATGGCGACCATGAGGTGCATTTCATGAGTTTTGCTTCTTTCAGGATTACAGTCTTGTGCTGCTTGTTGTTTCCATCCTGAAAACGACAGTGTCCCGTATTTTTCAGTCTAATGGTTGTTTCTGGAGGGAGGGCTCGTCTGACGCTCGGTACTCTGCCGGAGCTGGGAGCTGCCCCAGAGCCCCGTGGCCTGCTCCAGATGGGCTGGCATCCAGGCTCGCTGCTCGGCTCTTGCTTTGGGATCTCTACCACCATCCTGGGGATTCCCTTTGTGCCTCTTTTGAGTTAAATTCGTTGTTTTCTGAATCCCACGTTTTCTTATTTTTGGTTGATTTCTTTGGGCAGAGGAACCTTCAGTAGCTTCCTGAGAAAGGGTAACAGGAAGGTAAATTTTTTGAGGCCAGTGTGTCTGAAAATGTCTTTATTAAACCATTGCACTTGGTTGATAGTTGATTGGGCGGAGAATTCTACTTTGGAAATAATTTTCTCTCATAATTTTAGGTGTTTCATTGAATATGTAATGTCATATGAAACTTTTATGTGGAACTTTGAAACGTGTTGTTTCTTTTTTTTTTCTCTCTGCAAGTTTTTATCGTCTTTTCTTCTCCATGGTTCTGGATTCCCACAGTCATGTTTTGCGTGAGTCTGTCGTCCTCCGTTGTGTGTGCTTAGTGGGCCTGTTGGATAGTTCTGGGGAATTTTTATGAAGTATTTCTTTGATTTCTCCCCTTGATTTTACTATTCTTTTTTTCCTGAAACTCTTACTGTCCTGATAATGGACCTCCTAGGCTGATTCTGCAATTTTCTTTTTTTTTTCCTCCATCTCTTTGTATTTTTTTCTTACTTTGGAGGGATTTCTTTAACTTTATCTTCCAACCCTATGTTGCATTTTTCATTTATGTTATATTTTAATTTTCAAGGGCTCCTTTCTTCTTTCTGAATGTTCCATTTTTTCTTTTTTTGAAATAGTGTTCAATCATTGTTTCATGGATCTTTGCCTATCTCTGAAAAGACCGATGATTGTTTTTGAGGGGTTTGTCTCTGCGTAGTTTCTGTTTCCTGCAAGTTGCTTTATTCTGTTTGGCCTCTGACTTTTGTGTTGTGTACTCTCCTCTGGGGTATGGGGTGCGTTCCTGGTCATCTGGATCCCAGGTTTGTGTAGTGCCAACGTTCCTGCCTTTCGCTTCTCCCCGTGCATGGCCTAGCAGACACCATGAGCTCCGGAGAATGGGGCCTGGTTTCCTTGGAGCCCCTCGCAGCTGGGGAGGAAATAGGAAGTCTCAGGACTGGAAGAGTTTATTTGGCATGTTGTGGCCCAGAGCTCATTAACTCAAACTTCTCTCAGTGGGGCCTAGGGAAAAAAGGTGGTCACCTCCACAGTGCCAGGGCCAGAAGCTGTGCCCCCAGGAACTGAGGCCTCCAGGTCCATGCCCACCGCGGACAGACTAGAGGGCCTGCCATACCTTGAGAACTAGATAAAGAGGCACCCAGAGTGCTTGCGCTGGCGAAGGAGGAGGGATGACCTGCAGCTCGGTGGAGGCCAAAGGCTCACGTTTATCTTCAGAGAGCCCCGAGAACCTATGGTTTGTGGAGCAGAGAAAGCCAGCCTGAGCCCCTGAGAGCCCTGACACCTGCTCGCTCCAGTGCCCACCCACGGTCCATCTCTCTCAGTCCCAGAGCTGGTGATCTCTGCCCAGAGCGGGCAGCCTCCTGGCCTGGGCACAGTGAAAGTCCAGGTTTGCCCCGGGCCCAGCCCCTCCCGCACCCTATCTGGTGTCTTTCCTGCCAGGCTGCTGTTTCCACAGAAAGCTACACACAGGCACGTCTCCTCCATGGCCATTGTCCAGGAGGGCTTGGCAGCAGTCACTAATGGGTGTTTGTTAAGTGAAGACATGTGCGGGACAAGACCCCAAGCTCCTTGCCTATGGCTTGGCTAAGCTGGGTCAGCTGATGGTAAAGGCCCCATAAGAGGACTCTGCCCACCGCCTCCCTGAGTCCCTCACTGCCACAACTCAGGCCCCGTCACCATCAGGTGTTGCTGAGGCAGAAGTAGAGAACCCTAATGCTGGAGGAGCATCAGGCGTGACTGAGCACAGTGGCGCATTTACAGGCACGGAGAGGGGGAGGCACTGGACGTGCACACAGCCAGCCTCATGGTATACCTGGGGCCAGCTTGCCAGACTGAGAGGCTGGAGCTCTTCTGGCTCAGCATCCCCAGCAGTGAGCCCATTGTTTGGGGGAGAGAGGGCACACAGAGGCCCCAGGGTCGAGTGCACTTCCTGCTGCAGTGCAGAGTACGTCCCTTATCCCCTCACCTCCTTTCCCTGGGGACTCTAGAGGGCAGAGATGAGGGCTGCCCACCTTCTGTTTGCGTTCTCTTGTCCTCATCAAAGTTGGGCCACCAAGTTGCTTTCTGAGGGCTGAGATGGCTTTCTCTCTCTCTCTGTCCCCCTTCTGGCTCCTGTGTGATTCCTGCCAAGGTGTGGGCTGGTGGCCTGCCCAGTGGAACCACCTTTGGGCGTGGGTTTCTGGGATTGCCCTCCCTGTCTCCTGTGCTTGGCCACACCACAAGGTTCACGGGAGGCCCCTTATTTCTCCAGCTGCAGATCTGGGACACGGCAGGCCAGGAGCGATTCCGTACCATCACCCAGAGCTACTACCGCAGTGCCAATGGGGCTATCCTTGCTTATGACATCACCAAGAGGAGCTCCTTCCTGTCAGTGCCTCACTGGATCGAGGATGTGAGGAAGTACGCGGGTTCCAACATCGTGCAACTGCTGATCGGTGAGCTGGGGGGGCTGGTGAGGGTGGGGCCAGCAGGGTTCCTTGGGACCACGGATCCTGTCTCTCTCTTGATCTCTCCTTTTTATTTTATTATTTACTTATTTTGCTGAGGAAGAGTTGCCCTGAGCTAACATCTGTTGCTAATCTTCCTCTTTTTTAATGTGAGCCACCGTGACAGCATGGCCACTGACAGACGAGTCGTGTAGGTCCATGCCGGGGAACCAAAGCAGGGCTGTCAAAGTGGAGTGTGCCGAACATAACCTTAGGGCATTGGGGCTGGTCCTCAGTTTTTCCTTTTTAAATGAAGGACAAGCCAGAGTGCAGAGAGGGGCTGAGCTTGAACAGGCAGGAGCAGGGCCTGAACTTGAACCATGCGATCTTGCAAATTCTGATCCTGCTAGTCGCTTATAAAGTTATACTCACCATTGGAATTAGAGAAAGGAAGACAGCAAGCTAAGATTTGCCTTGCAGTTACCGTGTAATCCACACCACGGTTAACACTGCTTAAATCTTCACGTGTGCTCTTGGATTTAGTTCCCGTAACCCTGACTACTCCTCCTTAGTCAGGGGATAGAGCTGAGGCTCAGAAAAGTGAAGTAATTTATCCCAGTCCACATAGCCTGTGAGCATATAAACGTGAAATTTGAGTTCAGTTCTGCCAGTCATAATTCAGTGACTCGCTCTGTCACACCATACTGCAGAGCAGCGCTTCTCAAACGTTTGCCTGCCTCTGAATCACCCCGAAGGCTTGTTAAAGCACAGATACTGGGCACTACTCTCAAAGTGCCTGACTCAGGAGTGCATTTTTGACAAGTTCCCAGGTGACATCGGTGACATCCACGTTCCTCGCTCAGGGACTTCACTTTGAGAACCGCTGCTGCAGAGAGATGCCGTTGTCTCCATTTTCCCTTTTCCTCCTACATGAACTTCCCGGACCTAGGCTCTAGAAGCTTCGGATCATTTATGTGGTCCCTGGGATCCTCACCCCAATAGTAAGGCTGATTCTTCTAAGATAAGATTGTACAGATGGGGCCTGGGCGTGGCTCCAGCTGGGAAAAGGATGACACTTGGTTCCATACAGCCTGCCTTCTATAGTCTGCTTGGACTGGGCTGTGGAAGTGCTCGGCAGAGCTGGACCCTCTGGGCCGGAATGGAGCTCCCGTTACCTGGCCTTACACTTCCCTTTTATCCAAGACATTTAGAATAAAACATTCTGTTATAGAGCATTTTATACAAATACAAAATAGAATAGTGTAGTGAACCACAGATACCCATTACCCAGCTTCAGCAATTAGTAACTGATGTCCAATTTCGTCTCTACCTTCCTCTGCTCCCCTCCCTTGTATTTGTTTTGAGGCAAATCCCAACACCAAACTATTTCATCACTAAATATTCCAGCATGAATCTATAAAACATACAAACGCTTAAAAATATGTAACAATACAATTTTCACATCTAAGAAATATTGACATTTCCTTAAGATAATCAAATCGCTGGTCTGTGTTCAAATTTATAATTGCTCATAAATATCACATGTGCTTTTTTTTTTTTTTCAGTTTGTTGAAATCAGGACCCAAATAAGTTCCACACATTGAAATTGGTTGCTGTATCATTTAAGGTTACCAAAGAAATTTTAGATCTTTATAGATGCTTATCTATTTTTTTGTCATTCCTCTATAATCACATTACAAAAGTCAACCACTTAGAGACTTAAAAAAATTCTTCTAGAAATTGGATCAAGGAGCAGTTTGCCAGATTATTTCGAATATAATGAAACATCTCACACATTGTAGGAGAAGCCAAAGATGTACTTTCAGGTAAAGTGGTAGCCTGTGCTCTTACTATCAAAAGCAAAATAATCAAAAACCATAATCTTACAGAGAATAAAAAAATTCCAAAGAAAATAGAGAATGAATAATAAGTGTAATACCATAATTTTAGGGGGAAAAAAAAAAGAAAAGAATTAGCAATGCCAGATTTCTTTAACTTCAGCATTTATGGAGTGTCTGCCAAGTGCCAGATGTTTTCATGTTCACTGTATCATTTAATCCCTACTTTGCTGAAGGTGGTGTCACAGCTGGGGAAATGGAGACTCAGGTGAATGACCCAGGGGTCACACAGCAAATGATAGGAAGTTGGAGTTTCTACCCAGGTCTTCTTCCAGCTCTAAAGTACTGTATTCTTTTCACCAAGCTTCACTGCTTCTGTTTCTTTGGAAGAAGCAGTAAAATATACAAGCCTCTGGCAAAGATAAAAAAGAGAAAATAAATGAGGGACTAAAGGATAGAATAAGAGCTTTACAATAAAAAAGGTCTTTTAAAAAAGAAGATAGATTATCATGCACAACTGTGTTTATTGGTAGCTGACAGAGGGCAGTGGATGACATTGCGTCTCTCAGCTTGGCCCTGCCAGGTAGGACAGGGCTTCCCTAGCACCTGTGGGCCTCACCAAGCTGCACCTGGCCTTTCCCTGCAGGGAACAAGTCAGACCTCAGCGAGCTCCGGGAGGTCCCTCTGGCCGAGGCACAGAGCCTGGCAGAGCACTACGACATCCTCTGTGCCATCGAGACATCTGCCAAGGACTCGAGCAATGTGGAGGAGGCCTTCGTGCGGGTGGCCACAGAGCTGGTCGTGAGGCATGGGGGCCCTCTGCTCAGTGAGAAGAGCACTGACCACATCCAGCTGGATAGCAAGGACATCGGAGAGAGCTGGGGCTGTGGGTGCTGACCGGGGTGCAGGGCAGGCAAGCAGGGACCTCCACACCTCCTCTCTTTCTCTGGCCTGCCAAGCCCAGCCCTCCAGAGCTGGCCCTCCAGGGCACCAGCAATTCTAGAGCAGCAGGATAAAGTCCTGGAATTGTCCATCCCGTGGCCTGGATGGTTGATGGGAAAACCCCCCACAAGAAAGGAAGAAACAGGATATTTCCTGCGGGAGACCTGTTGGCACAGGGTAGGGTGTGGGGCCCATCCTGCCAGCCAGTGGCTGTCCCCTTTTCGTTCCTCATGTTCCAGGACTGGCTCCAGCCCACTGGTGTGGACCACAGCGGGAGAGGGGCCGGGAATGTGCCTCCCGTGCTCCACAAGTGCTCGTTCTGACTGTTTCACACCTTGAGTGTGCTGCAGCTGTGGCAGCAGGTTGCTGCTTTCCAGGGATGTGGCTGGTACCCTGGGTTCTTCCAGGTCATTCCAGAGCCTCTGTGTGTAGCCACAGAGAGCAGAGCAACCAGCCCAACAGACTCGATTCCTGAGCACAACCCCATGGAAGCCCTAACTCCTTCCAGGCCAGGGACTTTGTTCCTTTCTTCACTGCCAGCTCTAAGCTCACAGACACCTTGGGGCCCAGCTCGCTGCCTTATAGCAAGACCTCTCAAGTTTTCTGGTTTTCCATGTAGCTTCTTGTTTTCATTGGCACAAGTGTGGCTTCATGGCCCACAGCCGACTGGGGGCCATCTACTAGCTTGAGGCCCAAAGTTTTGCCACTCAGGTTGCAAAACCAGCTAATTCTTCAGCAGCGGCTCTCAGAAGCTCGGGGAGTGGAGGGAATGAGATAGGAATGTGGACATTTAAGGGAAAAGTTAAAGCTTGCGTCTCTAAGGCTCAGGTCTGAGAGGACCCCCAGGGCGCCCAGGCTTACCCCCTGTGCAGAGATCCTTCCTGCCGCGTTCAGAGCAGCAGGTCCCCGAATGCTCCCAGACCAGCTTACAGTTTCCCAAACCAAAAAGGCAAGGCACTAGCTATGTTGAGTCTGGCCGTTTCATCCTCCTGGGCCCACCAGCCCCTAATAACCGGGTGCTGAGGTTAGAAAACAGTGGGGGCTGGGATCACCTGGCTCTTGGAAGCAGGGCCAAACTCTGGGGTGTAGCTCAGGATCACAAGGACTGGGATAGGGGAGGCAGGTGATTTTCCCAAGCCCATCCCAGTCCCTCCATGTCAGCCCAGCCCAGGCCCTTAGGCCCCTCCAGTGTGGGGCCTTAGGAAATAAACTGCTCTCAGAGCCACAGCTGAGGGTACATGATGGAGGGGCAGCCCAGAGCCTCTCAGAGCCAGGCAGCGCCCCAGGCTCAGTCCCAGCCCTGGAGGTGGGCACAGTGCTCCAGCTCAGCCTCACCTTGCCTTCTACTCCAAGCACTTTGGTTTGCGTTGCCCCCTGTCCCAGGCAGGCTTGGCCACAGAGCAAGGAGCCAGACCTTTTGCAGGAGCTCCACAGCAGTCTGGTGAGGCAGGGCCAGGCAGGGACAGGCTGTTTTGGCTGAGAGGGAGACAAGCAGGGCTGACGGCTCCCTTTCAGGGAGATGGGCAGCCATGGAATGGCTGAGCTTGATTCTGGAGGGGAAGGACAGTGTTGGCCTGGTCCAGCCGGGAGCTGCTCAGCAGGAGCCTGCACTGAGGGATTCAGCCTGCTGCTAGCTGGGGTGAGGTGGGAGCCGGGATCAAGAAGGCTGCCTGGCTTCCTTCCTCAGCGGTCTTGCTGATGGGATGGGGCCCAGTTGCTGGCAGGGGGAGCTAGGGTCTGCCCAGCTCCTCCACTGCAGTGGCTGGGTTCCATCTGCAGAGTAGAAAGTGCCTGTCACTGAGGCATACCCTAAAGAGGGGCCCCATTCAGGCCAACGGCACAAGTCCTCCAGCCTCATGACCTCTCTATGTGGGGCTGACGTTGGGGCAGAGCTGGGCGTTCAACCCAGGCCCGAGCTGGAAGAGAAAGCTCTCGAAGGCTGACCTTGCAGAGACCTGCTCCTGTGGGGCGTCGGGGGACAGAGGGGTCTTGGAACAGAGGCCTGGGCCTGCACCCTGTGATTGACTTGGAGCCCCAGTTCCAGCCGAGCACAGGGACTGACCCTGCCCCTTGTACCTGCTGCCCCCTCTGCCTCAGGACTGGGGGTGGCCCTCGGCTGCTTCATAGGGCCTAGGGAAAGAGGGAGGCCCCACCACCCGTCTCTTTCACAAGTTCGCCCTGGGCTGCCATGAGGGTCCAGCGTAGGCGCAGGAACGGGTAGCTGGCTGGTGACGGGCTCGTTTGTCCCCTTGGACTGTGAACTGTCCCCCTCCTTCTCCCGCCCCTGGGGGAGGAGGCCTGAAACCCTGCAAAGGCTTAACTTAGAAGGGGGAAGGGAGCAGCTGGCTCAGCCTGGGACCAGGAGGTTTCCTCTCACGGGTGGCCTCTTGGCTCACCCAGCAACCAAGGAAACAACACTTCACTTCCTCCCCTTTCACAATCCCAAGGTGTCAGAAATACTGGGCCCAGTGGATCTCCTGTCACTCCATCCTCCAGGCGCCAGAGCAGTCTCACTCCAGGAGTTTAGCCTAGAAATCTGGGGCTCAGCTTGGGCTCCTCGCTTTTTCTCACCCTACCGCAGTGCTGGGATCCCACCTCCACAGTGCCCCCTGCCCTCTGCTCCAGACAGGCCTCATCTCACCTGGACGCTTCACTGACTTCCTTGGCCCTTGGGCTTTCAGCCTCCACTGCCCCACGCCACCCTCCTGCTACTGTCAGAGTGGCAGTTGTGAAAGGTCACTCTTGGTCCTATCCACCAACCCCCCTCTTCCACTTTCGCACCTTCCAGGGTGCCCTGGGGCCCTCAGGATGCATCCATACTTGACCCAGATGTCCAAGGCCTCCACATCTCCACCCTGGCTTCTCTCCAGCACCTTCTTGTTCCCCGAGGAGCACCCTCTGTCCAAGCCAACCCTTCCTGCTCTCTCCCACATTAGTGACCTTGCCCTTTCATTCATGTCCTTTAGAACCTCACAGATGGCCCAGCTGGGCTGAAACCCATTTCCTACAGGCTCCGACAGAGACGCTTCACGGCCTGCAATCTCAGGCACAAATGCTCATGCTCAGGGCCTGGCCTTGAGAGTGGTGGTGACTGCTTGCCATGTGGGGAACCTGTTCTGTAGTGTCCCGTCAGGTGAGGAGCTCACTACCTCTCTGGGCTTTAGTCCTCTGTCAAGTGGGGCCCTGGACTTGGGTAAGAGAAAACGGGGAAGCACATGAGGCAGAAAAGAAGGCCCGCCTCTGTTTCCCCTCCCAGCAGCCCAGGGCCTCGGGGGCAGGAGAACAGTTTAGTCTCTTCCTTTGTTTATAAATTATCCGAGAACAGGAGCAGGTGGGGTCAGGGGCCGGGGTGCGGGAGAAAGGGCAGGGGAAGCAGGTCCAGGACCAGTCCAGACAGCCACCAGGCCCATGGGAGGGTGCTCTGTCTCCTGGGTTAGGCTGATGTGACGTGGGCCAGAGAACAAGAGGAAGACGCTTTATACTCCAAGGAGGAGGAGCGGGGCGGGGAGGGACAAGGATCCTGACTCCTAAGCCAGAGAGGGGGTCCCTGTCCTCCCAGAAGGGGAGTTTTGGCCCCGAGGACACAGGCCCCAGCAGGAATGGAGCTGGAGGAAGCTCCTAATTCATATTGAATTCAGTTACTCTCTTCCCCAGGAGGGCTGCCCGGGGGGGGCCTCAGGGACCTGAGCCTCGCTGGCCTGGACTGTTGGGGGGTGGGGGCAGGGAGGGTTGGGAGGGCCTCAGCCAGCCCAAGGATACCATTGCATTTGGGAATTTTTCACATTACCTATTTATGAATATATAAATCTTTATATCAAATCTATTTTTTAAAACATGGAAAAGTTGCCTTTATGGAAACTTAGCAGAGCCAGAGTGTACACATTCCTAAACCATTAAACAGATTCTGTAACGAGCCAATGACGCCCAAGATTGGTTCTCTTACCTTTGAACCCAGAGCCTTCCCACATGTGGTCCTGCCTGCCTGGCCGGCTTCCCCCAACTGCTCTCTAGACCTGGGATGGGTGGGCAGGCCTACACTGCCCATCTGTTTCCTGGAACCCTGGTAAGACTCTGCCCCAGACCAGTGTGGGATCCCCTGGGCAGAGAAGCAGCCAGTGCCTAAGGGGCAGGAAGGAGCTTGGGTTGGGTCCTGTCTCTGCCAGGGAGACCTGCATGACCTTGGGCAAGTCACTGCACCTCTCTGGGCCCCAGGTTCCTTCAGTTGGGTTGGTACTGGGGAGACAGGTCGGAGAGTACTATTTAGTGGTTGCCAGGGGCACCAGGCCGGGCATCTACTACGCCTGTACAGCCCTGTGAAAGAGGTGTTCCTATCCTTCCAACCAGTGCTTTTCCAGGTGAGCCAAAATGCTCAGGGGTTGGGAGTTCCTTGTCCAAGCCTTGCAGCCACGAGGAAGTAGAGCTGTTATTCCACGTCAGGATCTGAGCCCTGCAAGGCCCAGACTGGGTCTGCTCACCGCTCTATCCCCAGCACAGAGAACGGTTTCAGGCACATAGGTGCTCACAGAACTGCTGAGTGCCTGGATTGGGCCCCTGGCACCAGGAAGCCCGTGAATCCATAGCCTTCCGAGGTAATCTGGGGCCTGTTCCTGGTGACCCACAGAAGGGGGCCACTGCTGAAATGGGGAAAGATGAGGAAAGCATGGCATGGCTGCTCATGGCGGCTAGGTGCTACTGCACCCGCCCTGCCAAGCCCTGCCCTGAGACAACACATCATGGGGCTGGGCCAACCTCCATTCAAGTCCCAGGTCTGTCCTGACTATGACCTTGGGCAGGTCATTTCTCCACTCAGAGGCTCGGTTTCCTCAGATGTGGGACACTACTTCCTGTCCTGCCTGCATCCCTCAAAGCTACGATGAGATCCCCGGTGGGGAGGGGCTTTGTAAACTGAAGGGCCAGAGCAGGGGCTCCTGTTTCCGTCTCTGTCCAGGTGGTTAGAAGCCTGCTGAGTTGCACTGACTGAGGGAGGAAGCCCTGGAGCCCTGGACATCCCCGATGGGCCGCCCTCCAGGCGTTTGCCAACCGTCTTTTCCAGGGAGAAGAAACATCAGTTGTTTGACTCTCCTGCTCTCATCAAATGCGAGGCAGCCCCAAGCCCGCCTGTGCCCCTTGGAAGGAAACTCACAACTGGGCTCTTCTGAGCCAGGCCCCCGCAACACCTCCCAGAGGGCCACCAACACCAGGGCCAGGCTGTCCTGAGACCCTGCCTTGCTCAAGGCACCCACTAAGTTTGCTTCTGAGCCTGGGGACTCAGGCCAGGCTTGGGCTGGATGCTGGGTCCCAGAGCCGAGTCTGACCCTGTTCCTTCCCCGGGGGCTCCCAAAGCTCCAACCTTGACCCCTCCCTGCTCCCTGCACACATTCCCCTAGGGGCTCCATGAGGGGGGACCCCGCCAGCCCTTCCTTCAGGGAAGCCAGGACGCTGGGTGCCTCTGCCCCAGTCATGTCCCCTACCCTCACCCTCACAGCACTTGGGACTTGAGCTCCATCACCTCTGATGTCCATCCTCGGTCCCCTTCCCTATGGCCAGGCCCCACCCCACCCAGCCTCTGCCCAGTCTCCGCCTGACTCCTCTCCATGCCTGGCTGGCTGCAGGGAGCTTCCTAAAGCAAGCCCCACACTGACCAGGTCACTGCCTTGCTCAGAGCTCTGCACGGCTCCCTGCTGCCCTCAGTCTCCTGCAGGAGGCCTGCCAGGATCTTCCACGGCCCAGCTGCCCTGTCCCCTGACACTCGCCACCCCAGCCACACAGGGCTCTGCCATTTCCAGAATGTGCTGCCCCCGAGCAGGCAGACCATCCCCCACCCACCTGAAGAACTGGAACCCCTGCTGTGTGATGGGCTTCTCCAAGGGGGTGCTCCTGTTCACAGAGACCGAGCTGGGGCCCTGACCCCAAACCACAACCACCTGGTTCTGACACTGACTCCCGGACACTCCCAGCACCCTCTGAGCTTGGAGAAGCCCCTACAGATGCGGGCTTGGAGGCTGCAGCCTCTGTTGTTGGTTGTCCCCATGGGAAAGAAGAGAGCCAGCTCCGAAGGCAGCTCTGGACTCAGCTTGGCTTCCCGGGCATCTACAGTGTGCTTTTCACCCCGGCCAGCACTGGAGGCCCTGCCCCCATTAGCCCTGTTCTCTGCCCACCTGCCTCAGCTCCCCGAGCCCTCCACACCACTCCAGATCTCCTGAGTCAGAATCTGAATTTTAATAAGCTCTTCAGAGTATTTGCGTGTACGTTACCAAGGTGGCCCATGGTCAGGCCCTGACATCTCAGAATTTTTCACTTCCTTCTGAAAAAGAAAGCCCGACGGATCTTGCCCATTTACCCCTGGATGAAGTGTGTTTTCCTTCCTTCATACAAATGCTCACTTGACCTGTGGACCTCAAGGGCAAAGGGCTGGTGGTTGGCTCCCTGGCCAGGCTCTAACTGACTGTAGCCAGAGACAGGGCCTGCGGAAGGGGTCAGTGGGTTGCCTGGGTCAACCTAACACCAACGCTCTTCTAGTCAAACTTGAACCCTATCTGGCAACATTTGAGCTTGTCATCTCTAATAGGGGTTCTTGGTCTTTTCTGGATCTCTGACTACTTTAAGCTGTAGACCTTTGTGTCAGAAAAGTTATAGATTCACATATAGACCTAAATAGGTGCACAGTCAGGGAGTAGTAGACATTGGGGCAAAGGCTGCCCAATTTCCATGTCTAGGATCTTTCAACTTCTATAGGAATGGTGGTTACAGCCCCCCAGACCGTGGAGGCTGATGTTTATTGAGGGGTTTCTGCATGAATTCACATTAAGGGCCTTCTTCAAATGCACATCCGCTAAGCAGCAGAGACAAGATTGGAGCCCTGGGCATTGGGCTCCAGGGTTGTGCCTTAACCCCTGGAAATCCTGAGAGGGAACCTTGGCCTTCGTGGATGAGACCGTGGCTGCAGCCACAACTACCATGTACTCAGGTTTAGATTTGACAAAATGAATGTGATTCTATGTGGACGTTGCTGAAAACACCTCTCCTGAGGCTCTAGCCAAGGAATGAATCTTGAAAACGTGAAAACCTCTATGCACAGGACTCTCCATGGCAGCCCATTTCTGTTCAAAGGGAAGTCTGGAGGTGGCCATCTCTCGCTGCCCTGTATCTTAGATGCTGTGTTGAAGTCCTGATCACAGGAGAAGCACTGCCCAGCTCTCCGTGAGGGGGCTCGGAGACTCGGCTCTTCCTTCTGCTTTCCTATACTTTCCAGTTTTGATAATAAATATATACTACATTTGCAATAGAGAGACACAATAAACTTTGAAAGAGTCATGAAAGCAATATAAGTAACATTCAAAAACGTTTATAGTGCAATATTCATTGAATGATTCAGAGTACCAAAGTATAGAAATGGTATGACTGATGCAAAAAAGAGACTGGACGTGAAAATGTTAACAGTGCTTGTGTTAAAATAGAGAGAAAATTTGCTTTTACAAATTTTTAAAAATGGAACTATACTTTTATGATATGTAGAATATATAGCGTGTACGTACACAGAAATAGCCTCCTATTTATATATATTACATCAGTGGATGTAACTACATCTCTATGTAGCTATACATATGCGCACATGCATTCAGATATGGGCTCATGTGGGAAATAAATGATAAACCTGGTGAAAGTTTGGGGGATATTTTGCACTCTGGGTTTGCTCTCTCATAAACCAGCCCAGCGGTGGGAGGGAAAACATTTTGCATGGGGCAGTGATAGAGGCGATGCAGTTTCTTATTTATTTGTGTGGGTTTTTTTTTTTTTTGCTTAAAATTCACGTATGTGATACATGACATTTGCTTTAATTCTGAGAATTTTCAAATACTGACAAAAGCAGAGAGTGCAACCAAACCCCGTGTACCCACCACCCAGCTTCAACGACCCTCATCATCTTGCCAGACTTGCTGCGTCTGCCCACGTCCCCCTCCTTTTCTGCTCGTGTATTTTAATGCAAATCACAGACATCATAGCCTTTCACCCGAATTGCTCAGTACGAGTCTAACAGCAAGGAGACAAGCATAGCCAACATGCCATTACCCATCTAACAAAATTAAAATCCCTCAAAGTCATCCTATATATAGTCCATATTCAAATTCATCAATTGCCTAAAAAAGTCTTGTCATAGTTTTTTGTTGGTGGTTATTACATTCGGGTTTGTATTTCTTTTAAATCTCTTCTAGTCTAAACTAGTACTCCCTCCTTTTAGGTTTTCCTGTCATTTCCTTGTTGATGAAAGTGGCTCATTTGCCTGTAGAATCCCCTCTCGCATTTTAGGTTTGGCTGATTATGCCCCGGTGGTGTTCCTCAGCACGTTTTTCTCTCCCCTGTACTTCCTGAAAACTGGTGGTTAGATTGGATTCTTGGCAAGAATAGGGGTGGTGCTGTTTGTGCCCTTTGCGTCACACCAAGAGGCACATAATGGCAGTGCAGCCCGCTTTTAATGTCGTCAGGACTGACTGGGGGTCAAGTCATGCCTGCCTCAGCCCTTCTCATGAGGTTCTTCAGTAACCTTTCACTTAATGGTTTTACCAGCTCTTAAGGATCACCACCTGAATCAGTTATTTCATCGGGGGGTTGAAAAAATGGCGCTACCTAAATCCTTCTGATCAAGCTTCATTAAAAGTCTTTCTGTATATACTAACTGGCATTATTTGAGCCCAAGAAATAATAATGGCTTCAATGGATTAAAACATGCTAAATATGCATGCACGCATTTGTGTGAAGGAACATTACATATTCAGTGTGTTTTAATCCACTGAAGCCATCATTCTTTTCGGTACTCAAATTTTCCCATCTCTGGCCACTGGCAGGGCATCCAGGCAGGCTCCTGAGTCCTTTGCCGTGATCCAGGGGTCCTGAGTGATTCTCTGCTTTCTGGCACATACTGT